GCTCAAGAGCGACACCCTCAGTCGGCTGCAGCAAGACGCTCTGCCTGAGCCGCCGACGAATCGCACGGCCAGTCGCGGCCCTCGTGTGACGCCGGTGCAGCAGGGGCATCTGATTCGCCACTTCTACCAGCAGCTGGAGGCACTCGGCCGAGCCCATCCCGACACGCCCCCCTTTGTCTGCGCTTCAGGAGTGGGTCTGCCCTGCCACAGCTGGCCGTCGAGGTGGTCCTGCCTGGCACCCCAGTGCAGTCGGTGCCCCTCTCAGCGGCCACCAGGGAGGCCATGGGGGCGGCCATCGATGCCGCTTGGGCATGCCGCCAGCAGGAGATGGACATGGACGGCACTGAGGACCAGCAGCCCATGACACACGCCCAGCGGATGGTCCTCTGTCGCCTGTTTGGTCAAGTGGGTCACAACATTGGGGCGATGCTGGCGGCCGTCCCCTCTCTGAGCTTTGCGTCCATCGACTCGTTTGTGCGTCACGAGCTGCCGGCCATGGTGGGGCAGCGTGACGGCGAGGACATCAAGGAAGCCGCCAGTCGATTCATCAAACAGCTTCAGAAGACCAATCGGCAGCAACACACCACACCACCCAGGCCCAAGCGACTCAAGGCGGCAGATGACGAGCAGCTGCCTGCTGGCGACCAGACACTCGACGCCGACGTGACGATGCCACCGCCCCGTCCACCAGTGAATGACCCACACGCACCTGATGCCCGAGAGCCGACCACGGCCGATCGCATGATGGATGACGGCGGGCGGGGTGGTGCACGTGGCGACGGCAACCGCGAGGGGGAGGTGATTCCGTTCGATGAGTTGACGAAGGTTCACCTGGTGGAGCTGCTCAAGGCCGACGCATCACCCGACATGCGACACGTAGCCGACAATATCATGGTCAGCAACGAGCAACACACATGACAGTCGGTATGAATGTGTGTGTTGTCTCTTCTGTGTGTGCAGGAGTTGGAGGTCGGTTTGGCAGTGAGTTTGTTGGACATGTTGGACGACATCGACAGTGTGGCGGCGTGTGAGGACATCGGCCGCGACCTCGGCCTCCACAAGGGCATCGCACTCGTCATCATATCGCAGCTGCGGCGCTTCCTGCAGTCACTCAAGCGGCGCGGGTTCGTCCAGTGGCCACCTGGGGATGGTGTGAGGGGGGACGGAGGCTTGGACCTAAGTCAGTCGTGGGACTCAGCTCGTCTGGTGTCGGCCATTGAGCGTGAGATGGACATGATGGCGGCCGACAAGAGGCAGCGGCACGGCGACAAACTGCAACACGTCATCGACAAAGTCAAAGAGGTCAGTCGACACATGATACACACAGATGCGGCACATGAGTTTCGTCCGTGTCTGTGTGTGTCGTCTGGGCAGTATGGCATATCAGGCATGAGCATGTCGCTGCTGGTGGAGCCGCCCCAAGACAGCGATGGGTCTCATGAGGGGAGAGTGGAGGCGGCACTGATCGGTGCGGCACGAGAGGCCATCTTCGGGGGCATCGCCGACATGGCCTTCATCCGGATCCGGATCCGCCGGGCCATCAGCCGTCAGGACGGATGACACACAGCCAGCAACTCATGTACTCTGCAGCGACAGATCGGTGTCCATACGCACATCGCACCTTTTCTGTTTGTCTTTGTTTCTGTGGTGAGCGTGTCCACACACGCCTCATGGGATCGCATTGGCCATTAGTCAGGAGTGAGACGGTCAGACAGCCAGAGAGGACCTTGGCCCTTGTTGAGACAGACAGACAGACAGACAGACAGCTTGATGGATGTGTGTGTCGATATAAATGTTTTTAAGAGCTGTCGACGGGGGTGAAGGCCACGCTGCTAGCTTTGCTAGAGTGCGGCGAGATGGGGTGCTGCCAGTTGATTAGATATACACTCCCGGTGGAGCGTCTGTTGCCGTACTCGTGTGCAGGGTTGTCTGTACAGAAAGGGCCGTGTGCGACAGACTCTGATGCATCTCAGTGAGACGTGACGGACGGGCAGTCTCGTGTGCGCGATAGGTAATCAAGACGACAGACAGAGATGTTTTCGTTACATTTGATGGACACACATGGATGAAGTCAGTCAGGAGTCACAGTAGCACGGATGGTCACCACCACTGTCTGGCTGTACAAGGGCCATCCACAGACATAGCAGTTCCCTCGGCCAATCATGAGAATGCACACGCACCGATATGCTCCATCCATCTGGATGGCTGTGCCTCCCTCCCTCCCTCCCCCCGTCCCCTCCTCTCCATCCAACCGGCAGGAAGATCCCGGTTGGGGGACTGACAGACAGACAGACATGGACACTCACACGTACACACACACGCCGCTCGAGCTACCTGGCTGGCTGGGGACGACACACTTTGACACTCACTGACTGAGGACAGCCAACGCAGCAGGCAGGTGGGCACGATACACAAGGAATGAAAACGACTAAAGCTGTGCTCTTGACAGCTCTTGTCAGTCAATGGTTAATAAGAGGAATAAGAGGATTGCATTCCACCCATGGCAAACCAGATGACCCCGATGATCATGCCGATGGTGGCCGTGTAGAGGCAGTAGCGGGCCCACTTGCGCCGTTCCGACCCCTCCTTGGCGTCCATGTTGAGGCAGAAGGCGATGCAGCCGATGGGCCAGAAGATCGACAACACACAGGACACCTGCAATGATCAACAGACAACACAACACAACACAGGGGAAAGAATGTACGGCTGGCCGTTTCTCTCTCCTGGCCACATCGATCTATCTCACCATTAAGCAGGTGAGCCGTCCTGACTTATCATCTTCGTGTGGCGGATTGTACACTACCGGCTCCGGCACGTTGATCACATGAGAGCCACCCAACTGCGGCCGCACCGTCTGCGGCTGCACATACTGCGGCTGATCACCGCCCTCGGGCCTTCCGGCTGTGTCTGCCGTCGCCAGTGGCTGGCCGACGACAGCCGGCATCGTCTGGGGCACATCGTATGCCGGTGCAGTGGTGGGTGCGGCGATGTCGGCGGACGGCCAGTTGACGGGCTGCGGCTGGGCGAGAGAAGGCTGCTCAACCGAGGGGTACGTCATGACTGATGCGGCTGCGGCTTGCAAGGACTGTTGGGAGGAAAGAGGCTGAGGATGTGATTCACTAGCTGAGGACCGAGATCTTTGCCGGCAATGCCTTTTTTGTTCAGGAAACGTGAGTGCTCGTCGGCGAGAGTCGGCGACAGCAATGTGCGACACGGGGACGGGGAAGAGAGGGCACGAAGAGATAGGCGAGAAACCAAAGGGTTTAAACCTATGTCCTAAACGGCCAGCCCACAATCAACCGAACGACGCAACAGGAATCAGCCACGCACGCTCCACATGCACAGAGGAACCTGTTGAGAAACCAATCAGGCTATAGCCGAGGTTATTCATCTGCGGGCCGACACATTATTTCCTCAACACCCCCCTTCGGACCGCAGAGATAGGATACCCCCTTTCCGCTCCTGCCTTTCCAAGGTTTCCGGTGTTGCTCCAGGAATCGAACTCGCGACCCCTCCGCAGCGCTCAGCAGGATTGTTCTCCGCCCGGTTTGGCCCTAGGCATCACCGCTCATCGGGGTTCCAACTGAGGTTAGTGGAGCTCATGACCTGTTGAGAAACCAATCAGGCTATAGCCGAGGTTATCCATCTGCGGGCCGACACATCATTTCCTCAACAGAACCCAGGAGGACATCCGCTCTTAACTCTCGGGTTGCGAGCTTCCTTTGAGCTCTCTTAACTCTCGGGTTGCGAGCTGCCTTTGAGTGTCCCAAAGGCGCACATTCCATCTTCCTTCCAATCCGTTTTGCCCTGCTGCTGGACTTTTCTTCGTTCGTTGACATCAGCCTAACAGTCGTCCGCAATGCCATCCTTTCCGTCCGTCGACGCTCCTCCGACTTACTCCTCTGAAGAAATCGAAGGCCACACCTCGCCCGTCAACCCCCAGTACTCGCCCACGCCCGTACCGCAGTCGTCCGCGGGTCCGTCCACCACTACGGTGGTCGTCCAGCCGGCGCCGTACGCCATCGGACAGCCGCTGGCGATGGCGGCTGGTCCCACGTATACCCAGATGGTCCAGGGAGGCGTGGGAGGGCCCGTCGTCCAGCAGCCGTACGTCCAGCCGCAGCCATTAAATGGCGGAGCTCACGTCATCCACGTGGTCGAGGTGCAGGACAGAGCTGAAGAATCTATGCTCACCTGCGCACAGGTGACACACAAAGAGATGTGGGCAGCTGCTCGCACAGCCAAACATTCTCCCTCTGTGTGTGTGTGGGCAGATATCGTGCGTGTTGTCGATATTCTTCCCCATCATCGGCTGCATCGCCTTCTGTGTCAACCTGGACGCCAAGAGGGGGACGGAGAGGTACAAGTGGGCCCGCTAATGCCTCATCGCCCCCATCGCTGTCATCGCGCTGATCATCATTCTGGTGTTGGCAACCTCCTGAGGGAGGGGAGGATCTCGCTGGACTCACTGGTGTGACGTATGCGTTATGTGTTATGTGTGATGCGATGTTGGTGTTCTGCCTCCCCTGCTTTGCCGACTGACTGACGGCCGCTGTGAGTGATTTCCCTTGAGCAGACGGATGATGTCCCCTGGCACGGCTCACACACTGCCTCGTGGGCAAGCGAATGTCGTTGCTGTGTATGGGGGCGATCAGAAGGCTGTACCTCGAAGGCAGACATTCTGTTTCAGTCATTTGGCAGTATATGTCGGATTGATTGAGTGGCGCATCGCCTTGATCTGTGGGGGGTCAAGTAGTCAGTCGATTTGTGTGTGTGTTGATAGGGCTTGCGTGCACTGACCTGACCCACCTGTGTGTGTTGTGTGCACTGGACTGCATGCGTGTGATAACTGAACTCTCCGCCCTGAAACCCATACCCTGAGACAGGTCAGATCTCAAAGCATTTTTGCGTCATGCTGAAACAGCCGAGTGCTTGACTGTTTCCCGGTGAAACTGCCGCTGATGGGATGGGATGGGGTGATGACTGCCAAGCCACAGCCGAGGAGAACCAAACTGTGATGACCGTGAGGTGCTTGGGTCGGTCTGGTGACTTCTGTGTGTCTGACTGTCTGTCTCGTTTGGCGTTCGTGGCTATCGTGGATGAGGGAGAGATGGATGACACGGACGGTCGGATTGATGCAGTCGAATGCAGCGATGCACGGTCGAATCATTCACTCATTCGTTCGTTAATGAAACACGCTTGTCTGTCGATCTGTACAAGGGCCGTCCATCCAGGGAGGGACGCAAGGGAGTTCCACCAAGCGTAGAGTATGCACACGCACCCACACACACCCAGCCCGTCCCACCCCTCTTGTTTGTCTACACCACACCCATCTCTCTCTCTCTCTCTCTCTCTTTCCATGCCTTCCCCGTCTTGTGCCGTCGGGTGAGCTACACCGCCTCGCCGCCACCTCTAGCGAACTAACCTGCCATCATTGCACACACAGACATGACAATCAGCACACACACACACACACGTGCCACCGACCGACCTGTGTCAACATCATATATCATCGTGTCCGTCATTTCCACCGCCCCCGTCACCCGCCGTAGCTGCAGGCACAGCCACCCACCACACACATACACAAAGGAGGGAAAGCCAGATTGGCTTTGCTTCATGCACCTCACCTCGTGCTGTCTGTCTTACCCTCCTCCTCATCGCCGCCGTTGCGCTCCCCGTCATCGCTATCGCCACCCATATCTGCACACAACACAGCACACAAGTGAGACCGACCTGACCATCCATCAAGGGCCCCTGTGCCGAGAGAGAGACCCACCCACCTTCATCGCTATTGCCATCGTCGTCCTGCCCATCGCCGTTGTCGTCCTCATTGGGGTCCTCACCGTCGAACACTATGGGTGCGATCGTCATCGGTCCCAGGACGGAACGCGCCATGGCGGTGGTGCGGGGGAAGCGCTGCTTGAAGGGCGCATCAGCAGACACACCCGCTGCGAGCGGCTCGGTCGTATACACCGCCACACACACTGCAGCCACACAGCACAGCGGAATGAACGGGCTGTCTGTCTGGGTGGCCCTCTCTCGTCTGTGGCTTGCCCTGTCCATTCCCCGAGTCGTCGATGTCGATGGATGCGATGAATGGGTGGTCGAACGGCGTCAGCAGCAGGTACTTGTGTGGTGCGTAGTTGGCAATGGTAAACGCCATGGCGGCCGTGGTGCCCTCGACCGGCTGGTGGACCGACTGGTCGAGCAGACCCGCCAACACGCCGCCACGGGCATCACTGCAGACAGACACACACAGCCAGGCAATGAAGCATCAGGGACGACCACAATCGGTGTGCCCCTTACGGACTGGCCGACCGGTCTATGAATTTCTCGGTATTTTGCATGTCGGGATAGGTGCGCAGCAGGATGGTGCTCATCAAAAAGGAGGAAAATGACGCATCGGTGATCACCCGGCCACCAGTGTACCAGCCGTACCAGCCGCTGTCGTCGTTGTAGCCGGCGATGTGGTGTCTGACGGGGGGGTTGTGGGGGCTGGTGTGCGTGTGGTAGGGGTGGGCGGGGGGCAGGGGGGTCAGATTGAGGCGGTGCTCGGGCTCGTCCTTGACGGCCCGCAGGTCGCCATTGCCGTGGTCGAACAGCTCAAATCTGCCCCGCTCGCCACCGAAGTCGACATAGCGGCCGACCATCTTCCACAGCGCCACCACACGCGGCTCAGCCAAATACGCCTGACGTCACACACATCCGTCACATCACACAAACACAGAGAGATGAGTGCCACCCACCCGTCCCCTTCGCCTATCAGCCCACCGACCTGTTTGCTACGGTGTTTCTCTAAATCTTGCTGTGTGACGATGACCGGCAGCTCACAGTAGGTCAGCTGGTGGGCCAGCCGCAGCGCGTCGGCCGCCTCATCCCACTGCTGGTGCTCCACCAGCCACCACGCCTGCACACACACACCCAGAGTATCCATCCATCCATCCATCCCCCGTGTCTAGGGCACCCACACCTGCAGCAGCAGCTTGCTCCCGAGATTGTCTATGTCGAACGTCACCACGGCATCCAGCGGCGTCCCGTCGGCGAGTTGGGTGTCGTGCAGGGCGCCGCGGAGGCGGCGGCGGAGCACAGCCGGCTCGAAGTCGACGCCCGAGAGGAACCGGGCGCTGATTCTGAGGTTGCCGACCGCCTTGATTTTGTGCAGCTCATCCCTGCCCTCTCGATGAATGACGTCGAGGCTCTGGTTGCGGATGGCAGGCCAGTCCTGCTGGCTGCTCGTCCTCGGCACTCTGTTGCCCATTAACCGATATCATCCCAGAAGAAACCCTGGAACCCAAACCCTGAGGATCTCCCCTCCCTTGGCTGCTGTTGTTCAACACAATTAGTTGTGCGCACACACGCTTTCTGCAGTGAATAGTATTACGTCATGCCCACTTGAATCAAACAAGTCTCATCAACACGCAACATGCAAATACATACACACATACCAGACCATACATCTCTCTGCAGAGCAGAGGCTCCACTGCCTCCCCTGGTCCGCCAGTCAGTCAGCCACACACACACACACACATATTCAAGACGAAGACAACACAAACGCAGGAAGGGAGCGAAGCAAGGGGCGCAAGACAGCCAGTACGCGACGACAGACACAAGGCACCAAGGCACAATCACCATACAGACAGAGGCCTCCCTGACAACCACCCCCTCACACCATGCTGTTCTGGATCTGCGCCGCAAACCGGGCCGCGCAGCCGTGGATGCAGTGAGGCACGCACCAAAGAACGAGATGCGCCACACGAGCACGACAGCCAGCCAGCCAGCCACACAAGAGAAGACTGCACACATGCAGTCCATACACCACACCGCCACTCACTCCCTCACTGACCCTCTCCATCCAACCGGCAGGAAGATCCCGGTTGGGGGACACACACACGTACACACACACGCCGCTCGAGCTACCTGGCTGGCTGGGGACGACACACTTTGACACTCACTGACTGAGGACAGCCAACGCAGCAGGCAGGTGACAAGAGAGCTGTGCTCTTGACAGCTCTTGTCAAAAAGAATAGGAGTAAGAGTAAGAATAAGAGGAATCCCCGGAGCGTATGACCATGACCAACCAGGTGACGAACAAGATCGTCATGATCGTGCCCGTGGCGAGGCAGATGCGGGCCCACTTGCGCCGCTGCGACCCCTTCTTGGCGTCCATGGTGAGGCAGAAGGCGATGCAGCCGATGATGGGGAAGACTAGCACCGACAACACACAGGACACCTGGAATGATGAACGGACAACACAACACAACACACAGGGGGAAGAATGTATGGCTGGCCGCTTCTGCCTCCCTGCCCACATCGATCTATCTCACCTTCAAGCAGGTGAGCCGGCCTGACTTCTCATCTTCGTGTCCCGGATTGTACACTACCGGCTCCGGCACGTTGATCACATGAGCACCACCCAACTGCGGCTGCACCGTCTATGGCTGCACATACTGCGGCTGATCACCGCCCTCGGGCCTTCCGGCTGTGTCTGCCGTCGCCATTGGCTTGCCGATAACAACCGGCATCGTCTGGGGCACATCGTATGCCGGTGCAGTGGTGGGTGAGGCGATGTCGGCGGATGGCCAGTTGACGGGCTGCGGCTGGGCGAGGGAAGGCTGCTCAACCGAGGGGTATGTCATGAGCGATGCGGCTGCGGCTTGCAAGGACTGTTGGGAGGAAAGAGGCGGAGGATGTGATTCACCAGCTGAGGACCGAGATCTTCGCTGGCAATGCTTCTTTTGTTCAAGAAACGTGAGTGCTCGTCGGCGAGAGTCGGCGACAGGAATGTGCGACACGGGAGAGGCGACACCTCCCGCGAGAGCTCCACTCCCTCTGGGAGGTGGGAGAGAGACCAAAGGGTTTAAACCCTGAAACCCAAACCCTGAAGATCTGCCCTCCCCTTAGCTGCTGCTGTTCAATTCCCGATAATCATTGAGACTTAGAACCAATCAAGATCTGCCATCAGCAGCCGCCGTTATGTCATCATATCCCTCTGTTGACCCTCCGCCCAGCCAGCCTCATCCCGTGTACAGCACTGCCGGCGCCTCACCGCCAGCCTACACATCCACAGGCCAGCCACCGCCCGTCAACTGGCCAGCGACGAACGGCACTTCACCATCCCCCGGCCCCGCTGCCTCACAAGCGATTTATCACATCTCTGGCGAAGACCACAGCTCCCCCGTCAACCCGCAGTACACACCTAGCCCCGTACCGCCATACGACCAATCGTCCACCGTGCCGTCAACACCAGGAGTCACTCAACCATTGCCGTATGTTGTCGGCCAGCCAGTGGCGACGGACGCAGGCGAGAAGCCGCAAGGCGGTGGACCGACGTATGCGCAAATGTGGCAGGACAACCAAGGGGGCGGCGCGGGACCTTATCGGCCGCAGTATGTGCAGCCGCCGTGGGGCGGGTCGCCTCAGGGGTGGGGCGGTGCACATGTGATTGGGGTGCAGGAGGTGCAAGGCGGCCTGCCACAGATGCAGCAGGAGCAGGTATACGACGACGACATGAGCTGGAAGCTCAGCTGTGCGAGGGTGAGTGAGATAGATCGGCACAATCATAGCCAGTCACCTACTTCCACACACCAACACATAATGCGTGGTGACGTGTATGGGTGTGTCGCTGCAGATATCGTGCATTCTGTCGATATTCTTCCCCATCATCGGCTGCATCGCCTTCTGTGTCAACATGGACGCCCAGCAGGGGTCGCAGAGGTACAAGTGGGCCCGCTACTGCCTCTACACGGCCTTCGGCTTCACCATACTGTGGTCCGTTATCTCCGGGGCCTCGAGATCATGACACCACCACATGCGTACGGACGCGTACAGACAGATAGACACCGGGGTGGGTGGACAAGGGGGGCTGTGTAGTGTAATGTTTGCTGTGAGTTCGGTAGCGGTTTGCCATGGCTGACTCGGCCCTCACATGTTCGACGTGCACATAATCGGCAGTCTTGCTTGCACAGATGTCGTGTGCGCAAGAGTGTCCATCATCTGCATGAATGCATTGCATGCGACAGCCGTGGATGCCAGGCAGACAGGCTGCGCGAGGGGTTTGAGCGTGTGTGTGTGTTGTGAGGTAGTCATGTTGGTCATCTGCTTTGTCTCGCGTCGACTGACACTGTGACTTTGCTTGATCCTTCCGACAATCTTCCATGCCCACACACTGCCGTGTGGGCATGGGAATGTTGTTGGTGTGGTCGAGGTCAATCGCAGTGGACGCTGAGAGCGTGTGAATTCTTTACCAGCGCTTGCTGTTTTCATTTTTGTTTCCTCCCTCCCTCCCTCCCTCCCTCCCTCCCGCGTCCGTCCCTCGTCAGTGCCCAGTGGGGTGTGTGTAGAATAGTGAGTGAGTCATGTGAATGTGTGTGATTATGGGAAGCTGTCGTGCCTTGTGCTTCATTTGACCATGCCTGCCGTTGGATGTGAAAGAGCGCCACGGGCGGTTCGTGTTGACAGGATGCGATACGTAAACGGAATACGCAAAAACAGATGCGAGATGCTCGATTGCTTCTCTCTCCGTCCATAAATTTTCGCCTAATTTCTGTCGGTTCATCCATCCGATCGGTCCATCCGCTCGTGTGTTTGGTCGGTTGATTGTCTGACCTGTCGAGTACCGGCCCTCTGACACCCCTGACCCTCGCTCAGAGTCGCCAGCCGGCAGCCCCATGGGACGCACCAAGGCACAGGCAATGCGGAAGGACGTCAAGGCCGTCAAGAAGGAAACACTCAGCGCCGCCAGCGACAAGAAGCGACACCCAAAGATGACCAAAACAGGTGGATGAGAGGGTGAAGGGAGTGGCTGGATGGACGGGGTGCATTCCATTGCAATGATTGGATGGATGGATGTGTTGTGTTGATCTGACTGTGTGATTGTGTGTTTGTCGGTTGCAGGTCGGTATCGCTATCGCCCCGGCACAGTGGCGCTCCGTGAGATCCGCAAGTACCAGAAGGTGAGGCACTCACTGACTCTCTCACTGACACAGGCAGTGACTGCCTCTCCTCACCTCTGTCTTGCTCATGTTTGTGTGTGTGCCGATGTGATGTGATGCCTTGATGCAGTCGACTGACCTGTTGCGTCGCAAGTTGCCCTTCCGCCGCCTCGTCAAAGAAATCTGCCAGGTAGACACACCCACTCGACACACACCCACGCCCCTTCTTTCTCTCTCTCTCTCTCTCTGATCAGGAGCAGGTGGGTACCCCGGGCGGCCTCCGCTGGCAAGCGAGTGCGATGCTGGCCATGCAGGAGGCGACCGAGGCGTTCGCTGTGCGGCTGTTTGAGGACGCCATGCAGTGTACCATCCACGCAAAGTGAGGAGCTGTCCATCTGACCGACACACACAACACATTGCAACACACCATCTGTCCATCTGTCCGTCCGTTGGCCATGTGTGTGCAGACGTGTCACGCTCATGGTGTCTGACATGCGTCTGGCGATCCGTCTCAGCGACCCCTACTCTCTCCGCGGCTGGCACCCTCCCCAATAAGACCACACACAAACAAGACACAGACAGTACGAATGAGTACGTCAGCAGAGAGGGAGGGCAGACACATCCCATCCATCCATCCATCGCTGTCTGTGTGTTGGGTGTGCAGGTGAGATTCTGTTCATCCGCCCGTCCGTCGGCGTCGCATCAATCGCATCCCGTCCATCCGACGATCGATCCAGTCTGCATGTGTGTGTGCGTGAGAAGACAAGACAGACAGACAGACAGACCCCGCCTCTCTCTCTCTCTCTCTGTCTGTGGCTGTGTGGATGTGCTGTCTCGCCTTTTGCCATCATGTGAGGGAGAAGAGACTGACTGACAGACAGACGCAGGCACAGACAGATGGAAACACACACAGGCAGGTGGGACACACTCAGGGCACGTGTAGGTGTGGTGTGGTGTGTGGGTGAGAGGAGCTCAAGACACATCGATGATCGGAATCATTCATGTGGACGCATCTCTCTCGTGACGTGTGTGTACGGATTGCAATGACCTTAACACACTCGTTGACGTGGCTTGTACTGACATGTCAATACGGTTCAGGGCTGGTGGCATGTGCTGTCCACAGCAAACTGAGCGGTTCTGACAAACCGCCACCTTTTTGAGCATGTCGCAAGACACTACCGATTTCGGCGCACAGCCACACACAGACCCGCTCTCGGAAATCCGAGCTGCCTATGTTTTCGGGCTCCCTCTGGGGCACTTAACAGGCGAAAGACCTGGCCGATTGGCCTTCTCGTTCTTGCGCTAGAAGCGATTTTGTGCCGGCAGACATATAGGCCGTCACGTAGACCTAAGGAAAACTCCACACAGAACACGTTTCTCGAAAATCCGAGCTGCCTATGTTGTGGGGAATTGAATGGCGCCTCTGCTCCACCAAAAACTTGGCCGATTGGCCTTCTCATTCTTGCGCTAGAAGCGATTTTCGACATCAAAGTCGAGCGCATGTATACAGATGTACATACATATGGGAGAAATCCTTCTTTTTTCCCGGACCGGGTGTGGGCGTCCTTCCTGCCCCCTGACGGTGCATGCATTTACCACGACGTGGAAGGCGGCAAAGTGCGCGGCAAATCAGAGGGTAAGAGAGAAGCAGCAATGGCAAAGCACACCATCCATTCACTCGTCCGTGTTTCTGCCTCTCACTCAGGCGCTGAGAAGGCCAGCAAACGAGTGAAAGGTCAGCACTGATTGACAGCTCTTTCACTATCACTTCTGTCATTCACTGCAACTTCATCAGGACCGTGACTCGGAGCGTGCGGTGGATGACCATGACGACGAGTTGTCATGTCGGTGCTGTGTTTGGTTGTTATGCTGATGATCATCGTCGACGCCGACGTGCCCAACTAGCACGCCCAGCATGATGATGATATGGAGGCGGGCGGCGGCCGCCAGCAGGCACGGCGAGGGAAGGGCAGCCTTTCGCCACTGAATGTCAACCCACTGGCTGACGATGAGGACGAGCCGCCCATCGAGGAGGAGGATGAATGAATAAGAATGAATGATATGTTCACTTCTCCCTTTCCTTCACTCAGAGGTTGCTCCGCCTGACGCCAACAAGCTGCCCAAGTGTCCTCCAGGCGAGCCGCATCACACCCGCAGCGTGACGGCCATCGCACGTCGCAAGCAGCAGCTCGACTATGATTCCAAGACCCGTAGCAGACTTGCGCGCACCCACAGGCAACTGACGAGGACATACCCATGGAAGCGGCACTTTGCTGCGTGTGTCGATGTCCTTCACTTACTTCAGGCTGCGTGTGATTGTGTCTCGTCCTCTCTCCTGAGCGAGCTGCTCTACCTGTTCAACGTCGACCTGGAGGAGGGGCAGTAGGGAATCGATGCACCTTCTCGCCTGCATCCTGCGAGGTACACTAAGCAGCACTGCAACATGTGAACCACAGAGACCGTCTGCGGCAGTGGATAGGCAACAACAGGGCCGAGATGAGCTGAGGTCAGTCGATAAGACGAATGCTTGTGCGATGCTCACCACATTCTTATTTACATTGCCTGCCCTGTGGTGCAGTGTTTGGTGCTGACCTGACCCTCATCGCAGGTCAGACACACGTCGACTGCCAACGATCCAACTACCTCGACCTGGCCCGCATCGTCAAGATCAACCTGACGCCAGACGCCCACCCACCCACCCGCACACCCCCACACACGACAACACGGACGAGACACAGGCACGCCGAGGCATGGTGAATGGACATGAGCCGCTCATCAAGCAGAACGACCTCAACTTTGTGTGTGTCTGCTGCACGCCTTGGTCCCTCCCTCTGATGTGTCTCGCCCTCTGAGAGAAGGCGAGACACATCAGTCCATCAATGCATGCATGCATGCATCCATCCATCCATTTGTGTGTCTGTCACCATC